CGAATTTGGGGTTCTTGGCATTTCAAGATTTAAGAATTTGGTGACCTTGAAATTTCGAATTATGGGAATTCGGGAACCTTGAAATTTCAGAACATAGGAATTTGCGATCCTCAGGATTTCGGGATCTAGAAATTTGGGGACTTTGGGATTTCAAGTTATGGGAATTTGAAGACATGCAATTTCAGAACGCAGGAATTTAGAGATCTTGGAATTTCAAGATTTCGGAATTTTGTGTCCTTGAAATTTCACAATGTAGGTTTTGGAGCACCTTAAGATTTCAGAATTAAAACCATTTCTAAATAAATAACATTTATTCATAACTAATTAAACATTACATGAATCTTACCTAATTCTTAAAAGCCCAACATCTTTCAAAAATACATTTTATCTATGATAACCATTTATATTTATGATATAAATTTTGTCTTGTAAGGTTTATATTAAATAAAAGTATCTTTCACAGTCTCAGAAAATTAACTTTAAGGTTTATACTAAATAAAAATATCTTTCACAGTTTCCAATTCAATAATTACAATAAGCAAAAACAAAATTTACACTCAGTTTTAACGACACGCTCGCCGATTCCCTTTTGTTCGCACGCTCGCTTCATACCAACTTGCCAATTTCGACTCTCTTCACTCTCATTCCTCACTTTGTTTATATATCGCCGATCCTTCAGGGGCTCTCCCACCACTCATCCTACTTATTACAATTTCTATACTCTACAAATCTTACAGTCTGACCTACAGATTTGAACTGGAACTGTAAAAATAAATAAATAATGGATAATGCATAAACGAGCTTATAATTCTTCATCTCTATGAATATCTTATCTCGTTAACATTCATTTTGATAAAAGCTTCTCAATAATTTTTTTAATTGTAGACAAAAAATCGAAAATCCGCCATTTTAACACTGAAACTACCAAACCGGTCAAATGACCGTTCCACAAGTTCCTTATTATGAATTACACAATTTCTTGAAGTGATCCTCTTGAAATCTGCATTGATCTTCATCAAGATAACGAATTAATGTTTTTTGTTTCAATGTTATACTATAATAACACTAAAACTACCTAACTGGTCAAAAACCGTTCCACAAATTCCTTATTATAAATCACACAATTTCTTGAAGTGACCCTCCTGAAATCTGCATTGATCTTCATCCAGATAAAAAATTAATGTTTTGTGTTTTCACTAATTTAAGTTTTGTCGTTTATTTATGTTTTGACTTTAATTAAGTACACATACGTCAGTAGATTTACTGTAAACTGGTCCCATAAATCCATTGCCAAAATTTCAAAATCCTCAGACATCAAAAACATTCCCATCAACAAACACTACTAAACAAGTATTCAACTTCCGGCAAAAATAATAGATTATATTACCACCCGTAGGGGTTTTCCTTGAATTTAGAGTGGGCCGTCAAAGCGTTAAGCACCTTTCGCTCCCAGCACGTTAGAGACTCTGATGTCCCATGACGAGCCTCAAGTGTCTTCTTTAGAGGAACAAGAACAAGGCAAATGCACGCGATGAAATTCCGTATCCAGAAAGCGCGTAAACCGGTTAGTCAGATGGGGATGTAGAGGGGCGGCGTATGGTCCGGCGGGTACGCGCATGGTTAGCCATAAATTTTGATAATACTAAAATTGTGACAGAACGAAGAAAAATCCCCGCGAGGCTGTGGTGCAAAGTGCGAATAAATCGTTGCGTGTGCCTTTGTCAACGAAGCATGAAAGGTTGGGCGTACAAGGGGTGAAAAGAGAGAAAATTCTGGACCGACGAGAACGGAAAAAAGGTGGGGGAGAAAACTGGGCGCTGGGGTTGACCACGTCGTCTGGCTTTCGACCGAGTCCGTGCGTACGTGCGTGCCTGCGTACATTTTTATCAATTATTAAGAACTCCGGCGTGCTTTTGCAATGGGGTGCCGGTGATGGTAAAGTTGCTTTCGTCCTTGTCGTTGTGCTGGGTGTAACCAGTCGTTGCGATACCCTATATGATCTTTTTTTTTCTTTCTCCACCTTCGCCTCTTTCTCTCCTCCTCCCTCATCCCCTATTTGTGTCAGGTCCTTCGTCCCGCTTTTTCCATCCGGCCCTCTCTCTTGTGCTCCTTTCGCCCTCCCTTCGCGGACCACCGTGCCGTGGACATTAATAACGGCCACGGGCTAACCACCGTCAACCCCCTTTTGCCAACGTTACCGTGTCCAGCCACGGAAAGTGCGAGAGTAATAATAAAATATACGAAATGTAGACGACCAACGTCCCGGTTCGTCCCGTGGAAAAACAAACACGACGCTTCGGTGTGTTCCTTCGTTGTACGCGCCGCTATGACGATCGTGAAAGATTACGGTAATTTGCGTTAAATAAAGCCTTACTACCTGGGTGCTGCTTCTCGGACCTTTGTTTCTTGTAATTATTTTTTTTTCGGAGGATCGATTGAAATTACTCGTGTCACTTTTTATGATTTGCTGTATTTAAAGGAATGTTAGGAACACTTATTCGGCGACTCTTGGTAAGTTTTGAAGCAATTAATTTGGGGATGTAGCAAGGGAACTTGGGATTTGAAGAGTCGCGTGGGTATCTAGGGATTTGGGAAATTTGGGATTTGGGATTTGGGATTTGGGAGATTTGGAATTTGGGAGATTTGGGATTTGGGAGATTTGGAATTTGGGAGATTTGGAATTTGGGAGATTTGGAATTTGGGAGATTTGGAATTTGGGAGATTTGGAATTTGGGAGATTTGGAATTTGGGAGATTTGGAATTTGGGAGATTTGGAATTTGGGAGATTTGGAATTTGGGAGATTTGGAATTTGGGAGATTTGGAATTTGGGAGATTTGGAATTTGGGAGATTTGGAATTTGGGAGATTTGGAATTTGGGAGATTTGGAATTTGGGAGATTTGGAATTTGGGAGATTTGGAATTTGGGAGATTTGGAATTTGGGAGATTTGGAATTTGGGAGATTTGGAATTTGGGAGATTTTGAATTTGGGAGATTGGGGAATTAGAAATTTGGGAATTGAGAAATTTGGGAATTGGGAGATTTGGAATTTGGGAAATTTGGAATTTGGGAGATTTGGAATTTGGGAAATTTGGAATTTGGGAGATTGGGGAATTAGAAATTTGGGAATTGGGAGATTTGGAATTTGGGAGATTTGGAATTTGGGAGATTTTGAATTTGGGAGATTGGGGAATTAGAAATTTGGGAATTG